TTTTATGGTATGAGAGCTTGCAATTACTTTAATATTTATGTTTTATAGTTATTAAACTATTTGTACAAATTAACTAATGATTCTCACTTAATAATTGTAATTAATCATGCTTTATTAATCTTTATTTATACTAATACTTTTTTGGGCACAAATGTGCTGACATCCTTCCTCCAACATGGAAATCTATAACTTTTGCTGTGATCTATTCTCTCATAACTCAGAGCGTGAAAGTATGTGGCAATGCTTTTTCATTTTTGTTCATGCAAAAGCAAATCAATGCTCACAAAGAAAGAGTTTCATAACAAAAAGTTGTTTTACGTTGCTTAAAGATATATTTAAGAAACTATAATTTGCATGTTTCGTGTTGCAGGCGTAAAAGGGCTGATGTGGGATCATGTCTCACACAGGAATGTCCTCGACCGAATGGTCCTGCATCTTGCCTGTGCCGAACTGGTTCCTTTTGTTGAGGAGTCGGTCCGTACTCTTGGGCCACTCCTACTTATTCTATTATTATATATTTGCTTTTTTAGGAGTCTAAGGTTAGTTTTGGATTGCGTTTTTGTCATTACGGCCGCGATGTCTCTTGTTTTCCCTTATAGGGCTGTATTCAGGAGTGAGTGGTGCTCCGACTGTATTTCGTTTCAAGGTGGTGATTGTTTTTCAAGGGTCGAGTGACGCTTCTACTATATCTCGTTCTTGAGGGGATATTTGTCATTTCCTAACTCCTCCACATCCTTCCCGCTTCGTTACCACACATTCCTCCTTGTTTTAGTCGCCGCGACAACAACCATTTTAGTGTTCTTTTTGCAACTTCTCACTATACAATCATTCTTCTTGCTGTCGTAGCTCCGGAACAACCCTCCTTTTTGTTGTCCCACAGTCCTGCGCAATCCCCACCGTTACCACCGTCTTTTCCGCGCGCTACCGCTATCCCGAATAACCATTCTTGGTTGTTTTTTTGTTGTTCCATCCCTTTCAAACCACTTCCCTACCGCCTACCCATTGTCCTAGGCCTTCTGCATTGCCTCCTTGCCACATGTCTTCTGTCTTAGCCACCCAAAACCTCCTTCCCGCACCCTGTTTTAGGTCATTGCTCTCTGCTGCCTAGCTCACCTATCCACTTGCTGTCATTTGGGGCAGCGAATGTCCCCTACTTCCTTGTTGAACCACCCACCTGCTCCACTTCCCCACCTAGTTGTCACCTTTCCGGACGTCAACGTCTGCCACCACCACCTTTGAGTCATAGTTTGTGCCCCGTCTGTTGCTATTTTATATTTGTGTGTGTTGGCTATAAATGCCTATTGGCTTTTTGAGCAATAATATTTGTTTGTTGTTTGGCTTAACTTTGGTATCATTTAGCATCATAGTTAGCCTAACCTTAGTCCTAATATATGGGTTCTAGCATCCACAAATATTCAATCCCCTTCTCCACAAAAAAAAAAAAAAAAATCTTCCCTTTGCTTATTTTTCAAATTGGCCACCCAAAACTTCTCTTTCTCACTCAACATCACTTGTACACCCTCTTTCGCTTGCCCAAACCCAAACCTTAACCACCTCACCGAGCAGATAATTGTCAGAAATCTGATCATGGGAAAATTACACGGTGCTACTTATGAGAAATCCACAAAGACATGTATAGGAGAGTTATAGGAAAGCCCTCCAATTGCAATAGAGGCTTGTCACGTTTGAGAGAAAATCATTCAAAAGGGTCACACAAACTCCATTCGAATCCAAAGATGAAGACTTGTTACCCTGAAGGTTTGGCATGAAATATTGAAAAAAGTCATAATTTTGAAGTAAATGTGATTTTGTCATATTTTGACAACCATATGGGCCCGGACAATTTCATCAAGTGGCTCTGGAAATTGAAACGTGTCTGAGTACCAGGACATCCCACTAGATGTAATGGTGAAATTGACTGTCAACAAGTTAAAAAATAGTGCACCTTTTTGATTCGAGAACTTGAAGATTGTGCGACAGTGAGAAGAGAAGTGTAAAATAACTACTTGGTCATGAGATATGCATCCCCAATACCTACTCGTTCTTTACAGGCAAGATGTTCAGACCCTAGCTTCAAAAGTGGACTGACAATCTCACCGATAATCGTCGCATCTCACTGGTAGAGTTCAATCTCAGAATCATGCAACAAGACCACACCTAACAGAGATACTAGGCCAGAGTAGATAAAAATTCACATTTCCAAATCCGTCTCAGACAGAAGTATTTCAAATGTCAAGGTTTTGGACATATTAAATCAGATTGCACAATTAAAAAAATGATATTTTTCATTTATCAAGAAGCAGTTGATGAAATAAACAGTGATCCTGGAGAAAATGAAGATTTTAGAGAGGATTCTCAACTTCCAATTGATGAAGAAGTGATACCAGCGATTCAAACTAACCACATGAAAACGTCTCCAGCTGAATTAACTGAGTTGATAGCTAAAAAGGGATGATCCCTGTCGATAAAATTTCCAAACTTCCTAATGGACAAGTCACCTATTTGGTGGTTACCACTGTAAGTGCTTCAACATGTCAGAGAAGAGAAACTTTTGTGCCACTTCTTAGAGATTATATGGAGTTATTTGGTTATTAAATTCAGTTTAGCTGTGTACCCACCGATAGATGATCAAACAAGATGGATGACCTGTAGCGTTGGAAATCGTCTTAAGAGTTTAGCATGAAGTAACATCTTACAGTGAGATCCAAATCCTTTCAGAGAAGAAGAGGCCTCACCTGAGTGATTATACGTCAACGTGGTCTAGCCTGCCATAGATCTTTATCCAGACTTGATTCCTCATGACAAACTTGTTTATCAGATACATTTAGTCAACTAAGACAAGTGGGAGAAAAAGTTACAAACTTAAGGGCTTGAAAGCTAATTTGTTGGAATCTACAACTATATGGAGCTTCATCTTAGGCTGTGCTAAAAAAGGATGAATACTTATTCTTTCAGAGTGCGCTTTGGAATGACCACTTCTGCAGGAGATTGATGCCGACATAAAATGGTGAATGTAGTATCGCATCACGCATGTGGGAACGTCCGCGACTGAGCGGCCCTGGTGTCTTACTTGGACCTAACCGGTCTAGATTTTCTCTCCCATTTTGAGGAGTTGGTTGTTCTTCCGTGCCACTTCTAGTCGTCCTATCACTATATATTTTCATTTGCATAAGTATAAGGTTTAGTTTTGTATTGTGTTTTTGTCAGTACAGATGCCGACGTCCCTTGATTTCCCTTCTAGCATTGTATCCAATGACGAGTGGTGCTGTGGCTGCATCTCATTCGAAGGTGGTGATAGTTTTCCAAAATCGAGTGTTGCTATGACTGTATCTTATTCCTAGGGTATATTTATCATTCCCCAACTACGATGCATCCCTCCTGCTTCGTTACCACACATTCTTCCTCGCTACAGCCGCCCTGATAGCAATCTTTATGCTGTTCTTTCTGCAGTCCACGCGTTCCAGCCATCCTCCTCACTGTCGCAGTCCCGGAACAGCCCTTTTTTTTGCTGTCCCACAGTCCCATGTATACCTCGTTGCTGCCCCCACCTGTACAGCTATTCCTTGCTGTTTTGCTGCCGTTCCAGCCCTCCCGGGCTACTTCCCTGCCACCTAGCCTCTGTCCCAGGCCTTCTACCACATTTCCATTGTCCTAGCCACATGGAACCCCCTCCTCGCAGCTTAGCTGTTGTCCTAGCTGCCCAACACTGATTCGGATCATTGTTTCTCGGCCACCCAGCCCAACTATCTACTTGATGTCATCTCAGGCAGCTAATACCCCCTCCTTCCTATGCACTGCCCACCTGCTCCACCACCTCTCCACCTTAATGTCGGAGACAAACATCCTAGTCGCAGTTTGTGTGTCATATTTCTTGTTATTTTCTATTTCCGTGTGTTGGCTGTATTTCCTATTAGCTTTTCCAGTAATAATATTTGTTTGTTTATTATTGTTTGTGTTAGCATCCTTCGTTTGACGTGAAAGTCGGTAGCATTTGTTGAGATCTTTTTTCTCATAAATCAGAGCATGCATGTATGTGGCAATGCTGTTTCATTTTTTGTGCATGCAAAAGCAAGTCAGCACTCTCAAAGAAAGAGTTTTATAGCAACAAGATGTTTTACGCTGCATTACACAACAATATATTTTTAAGGAGCTATAAATAGCGAGGTTTGTCTCCGACATTAAGTTCTACTACTATTATGCAGCAGAAATTTGTGTAAAGAATAGGATTTGATGAGGGCATGAAATGGAATGTAGCAGATGGCGTGGACCATCATTCTTTAGAACTCATTAAGTATCCATCTTCTATCTTAGTTGATAGCTGGGTGAAGGTAATTATTCTGTTACTTTTATTATTAATTTTATGGAATGAAAATACTATTTTTTCTTTACTAATTCTATGTGGTCATTGCTGGCCCTATTAGATTCGGCAGTCAGGATTCGGAGTGAGATCCTCGCAGAGGTGGTGCCAACACTCATGTAGGATAAGGATATTTTGATCATTTTTGCTTGCCCTTAATGTTCCGGAAAGGTTCAAATTGGTATTTTGATAAAAAAATAAGGATTTGTTTTGCTTTTCCCAAAAAATGGATAACTCGATGCAGGTTGTATTTTAAGAAATCTACATAAAAACATTTTTTTTTTCAAAATATTGCATCTTAACATTCCTTTTTTTTTTTTTGGTTATACAATTGCTAATGTATTTGTATTAGCTTAAGTGTGGATTTTATTGAAATATTTTATGTAGCCATGATGCATGAAGTCTACTATGGCTAAGTGATTTCTAAAAATACCACATAAAAATATGAACCATGGTGATTCCAAAAGTTTTATTTATTTATTTATTGGCTTGCTTAAAGCATAATTCCACTGTTTCTGGGTTTACTCTCCTACAGTATTGCTGATTGGGCTATTTAAGAGGAAGAGAATATATTCTGATTATTACTCTCAATCTAATTCATCTTGTTTTCACTCCCATATAAGGTAATACCTGTTGTTGTCAGATTGCTGAACGCAAAAGCTTATCGAATAAATGTGCCGAGCAAACTGTTGAGATCAAGTCCCTGAAGGATCTGGTATGTGCATTTATTTTACGAGTCATGTTTTTTTTTTTTTTCGCCATTATCTGTTAAGTTCTCTTTGTTCTTTTGGTTTGATAAAACCCTTATGAGAAAAGAAAGCAAAAAAAAAAAAGAAAAAAACAAATATTAGAGTTTATGCCATTTTGCAGTGATAGTTTCATCTGAAAGATTGTAATTTTGTAGATTGAGAAATTGGAGAAGGATAAACAAGAGCTGCAGATTTTTTTGGATATGTTTGGACAAGAGCCTTATGACAATAGGTATAGTCCATAGTTTATCAGACATTGTTTCTACTTTTTTTTATCAAAGGGATCAATCTATTTAGATTAGTGGATTTACACAGATTTGCAATAAATTTTCATTTTGTTGCTTCTAAGGAATGCTAGAACTATCAGTCTGTTTGTGATATACATGAAGACAAACTGACGAACAAAGGCCCAATTAGGGTCCATTCAGGACCATTTTTTTAGCTAATCAGCTTTTCAAATCAGAGCTTCACTGTTGTTGGCTAATGCTTTCTTTTGTTTTTATGGAAATTTCTATAATGAGTAGTTTTTTACAATGAAATCTACTACAACATGATAGTTATATAAAAAAATAGTTGTACATTTTCTAATACTCACAATTGCTTTCAAAAAATTACTTTTCCCCTAATAGCTCTATAATTTTCACAAATTGTTGCACCCACCTCAAAGGAATCCTTAGTTTCATGCATTTAAGTTTTGTGAGACTACTAAACATTCACACTGTAATTGAAGATGATAGTGTGGCATCCAAAGTCGTTCTATTTATCTGCATCTTGTAGAGAAGAAGAAGTGGCTAGGAAAACTTGGATTATTCATTCTTTCAATGTGTATGAATACCCAAAATTAGAATGGAATTAAAATAGATTATTGTAATTATAAACACAAAGAATTGCTTTGAGCTATCTGACGTATATCATTTAGGAATTGCTGATTGATACCACAGGATCAATACATGGGCTCTTTCTCATTTTTATCATATGAGTCTGTAGGATGGGTATTTACTCGTAAGCAATGAATCTGTGGCATTAATTTTTTTTTAATCTCGCTCTTCCACCATTTCTTAACCAGATTTCCTTTCAACACTCCCCACATGCTGGATGTTAGAGTTCTACAATTCCAAGTTTGCTTATACTATTTTTGAATGTGGGGTTTTTGAGCTCTTTGGTGAATAGATATTGCAAATTATCTTCTTGTTGGGATATATGGTGCACAAATCAATCCACTTTCTAGTTGTCCTTTTATAAAACCATTTATTTTCACATGTTTGATATGATCATGTTGTATAAGATTGTGAACAATGTTGTGTTGACCTCATTTTTAGTGAGGTCTGGTCTTCCTCTTAGGGTTTAGGATCTAGCCTTAGGGATCTCCCTTTGACTATCTTAGAACCTTAGAAGTGGTGCCCGCCTCGTTCTAATTCGACCTATTTCCGTCCTCTTTTGTGGTTCCAAGTGTGTGGTATCGACTTCTAGCATTTAGAAGGGTGAAACCAACATGAGGAAACCCAAAAGGGATCCCTATAGGACCTTTTTGAGCCTTAGGGTGGCCTTCTGCACAATTCGCACTCCCGCGCGCACAAACTTCGCAATTCGGAGAGCCAACACGTCCGATCGCCATAATTCACATCGCTTGCACTGTTACCCGTCGAAGACTCGAATGAAATTTTTGAAACAATCGATCGCGGGTCAATATTTTTGTGAAATTTGAATTTCGACGCGTTTTTGACCCGAC